CGGGCGGGGGTGATTGGTCATTCCTAAGCGGGGTACACATTCAAACTGATTGGTTCGGGCCCTGTGACAAACTGCACAGGGCCCTAGGCTAAATGGCCAGTAGGGCAGGGCGTAACTATCTCAGGAATCTGGGTGTAGCAGAGGAACTTAATAATACCTAATCTTTTACATTTTAATTCAAGCTTTCCAGTTTAGAAACTTTACCCTTTCACTATGGTGGCCTGGTAACCAAAATAAATTCATGACATATTAATTTAGAAATAACTAAAAACTCCTAAGCCTTTGTTTCAAGCTCTTAATTGAACATTCGACCCATCTTAACAGGTCCCATTTTTTAAAAATTAGAATATAATCAGCTAGATATAACCCTACTCAAATTCATCTTCTAAATTAGTCCTTATACTTAAAAAATATAATTTTTAAAAATCAATTTATAATCAATTCCTTTATTGAAAATGTGTGTGTCGTCTGCTTGTGAGGTAGCACGGCTGCCCTGGTCCCAAGGCCCTGGAGGAGGGCACGCAGGCTCCCTGGCCCGCCTGCCCACTCCTCCCTGGCAGCACCTTCCTGTCCCTGCAAGGCCTTGCCTCACCTACAAACCTTATTGTATTCCCCATTCCTGGGCTTTTCTCCACAGGGATGGCGAAGCCAAGAGGGCACCATCCTCACTGAGGGCTAGTGGCCATGTGACTACCCCAGCCAGAGGCCAGAGCAGATACACATTCCTGCTTCAGCCTCTCTGTACCTCCTTTAGACTTCCCACTAAATAAATGTCAGTGTCATAACCAAAAAATATTTGTTACCAGAGCCCAGGCCAGAGGCTGCTGGGGTCCCAACTGACTGGAACTGGTTACCTGCTTGTATCAGAAGGAAGAGAAAATGATTTAAAAAGGAAAAATGAATTTAATCACCATTTGGGCCAAATTGTGAAGACAACTGCTAATTAATCAATCTGTCTTCGCTTTGCCCATCCTACAGAAACAGTAAAATCTATAGGAACAAATGCCAGGAAGTATACAGCTGTAGATCCAGCCAGACTGTGCAAGGCAGAGATGCTACAATTCCAGTCCTCCCTCCATGCATCCTTCTGGCACCAGGCCGGGCTTTGGGGGTACTATCAGCTTCCATCCTCCACATGAGATGATGGCCTCCCAGTAGGAAGCTGTGATATGAAAACAGATAAATAAATTAGCAGGAAATGGCTGGGTGCAGAGCAACAGATTTTAAATCAGTTCTTGTTACACGTTGATAATGGCTTTTATCCAAATTTAATGATTTATCAAGACTTTTCCATCTCAGTTTGAAAATCCCTCCCACATTCCTGGCCTGCCTTTCATGACTCATCCTTAGCAGTTCTCCTTCTGACCACCCTACTCCACCCATAGCTCACCAACCTTTCAGAAGTGATCATTGAAGTTTTATGCATTAAAAATTGTTCTGCAAAGACAGCAACAATCAGCCATTTACTCATCATAGTGAAAAAAAGATTGCTTTGAAGCTTTTCTTTCTAAAATTAGCCTTTTGAATTAGGGATGGAATCACCATATGATCCAGCTATCTCACTCTTTGGTACTTTCCCAAAAGATCTAAAATAGTCACACTACAGTGATTCAACACCTCAATGTTTATAGCAGCACAAGTCACAATAGATAAATTATGGAATCAATCCAGAATATTGTCAGTAGATGAATGGGATAAGAAATTGGGAGATATATATGATGGAGTTCTACTCAGCCAGGAAGAAGAATGAAATTATGGCATTTGCTTGTAAATGAATCGAAATGGAGAATATCATGCTAAGTGAAAAAAGCCAAAATCAGATAGTCAAAGGTAGAAAGGGTTCTCCCATATGCAGAAGCTAGAGTAAAATAAAAGAAAGAGGAGGGAAGGATGGGATAATATAAAGAACCAATCAAATATAAATTAATGGACAAGTAAAAGGAAGTCAAGTAGAGGAAGAAGAATGGAAGAGGGGAGGGGGAATGGGAAGGAAAAGGGGGTAGGAAAAGGAGGAATCATGAACTGTAATTGGTTTCCATGCATGTCTGAGTTTGTCAGGATGTACCCAACTACATGTAACTATGAAGCTCTGATTTTTTAAAATGAGCCTTTCTTCCCAACATATTGGCATTATTTCCCCATTATCCAATCATCTAGTATTGACTCTCCTGAATAACCATGTTCCTACTCTGGGAACTAACTCATATT